AAAAAAAAAAAAAAAAAAAAAAAAAAAAAAAAAAAAAAAAAAAAAAAAAAAAAACTTTATGTATGCCTTGTTACTTGCTGTGTATGTCTCGTTACTTGCTGTGTTGTCTTTGCCTTTATCTGGAAAATTTAGTAAGTAGTCCCTACTAGGATTAGATACACGCAATGTATGCAACGTCTACGTACCGAACGAGATGTTCTAGAGCAAGAGGTGAGTTGTATGCATGAAGTAGACGTTACAATGATGGAAACCAGCAACGCGAAGAATCGTTTTGTAGCAACCCAAGTCCACCGTTAGCAGATATTATCCTCTTCGGGCTTTCCCTTCCAGGGTTCCCCTCAAAGTTTTCAAAACGCACGGGGAGAGGTTTCCACACCCTTATAAAGAATATTTTGTTCTCCTCTCCAACCGATGTGGGATCTCACAATCCACCCTCCTTCAAGGCCCAACATCCTCCCTGACATTCATTCCTCTCTCCAATTGATATGGGTTCACCTCACACGATTGTTACAGCAACAGTGTGAGATGAAGAAACAGTGGGACAGTACCTTCTAGTAAGACCCAAGAGATCGACGAGCTACACACAACGAAACGAATAATAATTTTTCAAGTAAAATTAGTTCAAATACGTGTAAACTAACTAGAACACTCAAAAACCTAAATAAATAAATAATGGGTCGTAATTTGTTCTTTTATCCTAAAATGGACGGTGAGAAAGATGCCAAAAATATACATTAATGCATGTACAGATTAAGCTATGTCAGCCTAACATATCTTTATTCCGTATCGAACGATTATCTAACGAATTCAAATAATTACAAAATAAAATAATGAGTAATAAATACGATACCCTATATGGTAGCGTCTAATAACAAAATCTAAAGTTAAAAAGAACCCAACAAAATACCCAAAAAAAGAAAAAAAAAGAAAAGGAAAGAATAAATAACTTTAGGAATCAATATTCTTTAATGAACCAAGTGGGAGGGAAAAGGTTGGATTCCAAAGTTGATATCAATTTAGGAATGCATTTAATATCAAATTCCCTAAACCCTAAAAGAGTGCATATCACATTTGATGATCTCATGCTACCCCTAATCTAGCCCTTTGTTTTTTTCGTTTTCGGGGTTTTTTTTTAAATAATTTAATGTTCGTGATTCAAAAAATTAGGTCTTTTCGGTCTTTTCAGTTATATAAGCTAAAACCCATGTCCATGATTTAGATCAAAATTCGGAATCTGAATTCAACACCTGATAGCCTAACCATTCTCCTGCAATATGATCACGCTAGTTACTCCTCTTAAAAGACCCAGTATGTTTTGTCGTCACTCATAGCATCCTAAGAAAATCCTTGTCTACTTAACTATAGAGTTCATATGATTGAGCCACTGAAAAAAATGTGTCACAATATATAAATATTTGTCAACGTCATTTGATTTGATAACTTCTTAATTGAATCGATTCAACGTTTGAAAAAGTTGTTTTGGAATATTTATAACAATAATTTTGATTTGATTCAATAACTAACGGTCTGTGATTATACTATAGACATGAAGGCTTATACGAAGACTTCAGAATTCTTTCGAAAATTTTATTTTAAATATTAATCTCCATAATTCACCTAAATACTAAAAAATAGTCAATAAATAAATAAATATTTACACAAATCATTCAAGAATTAAAAAAAATAAAATTAGCCAAAAATAAAATTATGAAAATTTAAAAATTTGATAATAAAACAGCTAAGCTTTTTATTTATTTATTTATTTATTTTAATTGTTCACCATAAATTAATGTAATCCAGCTAATATATCAATTAGAAATTTCTAGGACATGTCCCACAAGATTTTTTTTTTAATAATTAAAAAAAATTAATAATTTCAAAAGCTTTTTAATCCATAGCTCAAATTAAAATAAATTATAAATTATAAAATATTAGAAGCTGTTCTGGCTTTATAATTGTCACAACCACTAAAAGCTACTAATTATTGTGTCTCTAATGTGTCCCTTATTTTAGTGTATAATTATTATTATATACTTTATTTTATTAAAATATTTAAAATTTAAAATTCCCGATTTCCATAATTTTCTCAATGATTTGAAACGTTAAGTGATAGGTTATGGTCAACCGTGTTTCTGATTCTGAACTCGAGCTTAAGAATATTTTTTAGTTGTCCTTATCATTTAATTAATTTATTTATATGTTGTTATTTTGAAAGAATGATGTAGCAGATCTGAATCTGTATTATACTGATCTGATTTATTATTTGTTATTAGGTTTAAGTCCCACTTCCGTTTTTGAACTTCTTAGCTGTTTCGTTTTGACTTTAGCTGTGTATACTAACATGATAATATGATTAGTTTTCGAATCAGTAATGACCCGACTTTCTAAAACCCTAGCCTTGTGCAAGCTCTTTATCATATGCATGTGTACGTGATTTAAAGTGAAAAATGGAAATAAGCTTATATATTTTAATAAAAATCGTTCAAACATAGTATGAGGGTAGAAAGTACCAAGCTGGAGTACAGTAGGGGTAGAGGGAATTTTCGATGGAGCGGTGAAATGTGTAGAGATCGGAAAGAACACTAACGGTGAAAGCACTTTGTTGGGCTGACACTGACACTGAGAGACAAAAGCTAGGGGAATGAATGGGATTAGATAACCTAGTAGTCCTAGCCGTAAACGATGGATACTAAGCACTGTCCGTATCGACATGTGTAGTGTTGTAGTTAACGCATTAAGTATCCCGCATGGTAAATGAATTAAATCCTCTAAAAGAAGAAGAAAAATCAAATGAAAGAAGAATCCGAATCAGAAAATGAAAGAAAGAGAAGTTTTGGAAGCTGAACCTATTTACTGAGTGAAATCAGTCCAATGGAGGGTTACGAGAATCTATCTTAAATTTTTTTTTTTTTTTAAGTTTTGGGTATTAAAAATATTGAGTAAGCAACCCATATATCGGGGTTAGATATGTATACAATCATATCTGATATCAAGAAGTTAAAGGACCTAGAAATCATTCAACACCGATCAAGTCCCGTGTACACACAGATTAGTTGTTGCCATACGGGTTTACTCACGAAAAAGTAATATAACTTTCGCACCCTAGTTCAAGAAGAATCATCCAAGACGGAAGATTCCACCCTAATTAAGATTTTGTCGTTTCGCTACGCTACAATAACTCTGTTCGGTAAAAGGGGCCAGGCCTTTAGGTTGTTTAGATAAGTTGGGCTAGGTTAGGTTGATCTTTTGGAGTGATCTTCAATCAGGGTCCTCGCTCCCTTCAAACGCCTTGTAGTTTCATCTAAGTGGGTTTCGGCTAGGTGATTGCGCTCCTACACCACCTCTTGGCGAAGTAGGCTGATGGGCAAGACCCCTCCAGCCGCAATGGTGTGGGGTGTCAGAGGTTGTTGTCTCATGGTCAACTCTCAAGGACTGAAGTTCGACGGAGAGCTTTTTGGTTCTACAGTACAATGAGCAAGATCCAAAGCTTCAATCCGACAAGTTTCCACTAAAGTGCCTTAGGTTTCCATTGAGCTGACAACCAAGACGTGACCGAGCCGCGTGCACGATTGAAGCTGTTGGATTGGGCCATCAGTGGGGTTGATGTGGGTTGGGCTTAAGGCAATTAGTGGGCAAGACCAAAGCTGGAGTTGAGCTGTTGAGTTTGAGATTCAAATTTGACTCGACTCGACCCAACCCAACCCAACCAAGTGGATCCTCCTTTACCCAACTTTGTTGCTAATAACAAGCGCTTCTCGGGCAACTCTCGATGACAAATTTTCGACGTTTCATGGCATCATTTTAACACCAAAACAACCAACTTACTATCCCGATTCGACAACACATCTTAAACTCAATAAATTTGGAAAAGAAAAACTGATCTATGACTCACAAAAATCAATAGAAACTTGGGCTAATTCCGGGTCGATTACTCACAAATCATGACGATTCAAGGTGAGAATGATCACGAATTTCAACCAAACCAGCGACATTCCTCCGAGGTTTCACCAGAAAATTGTGAGAGTTCCAGTGCTTAAAAAAGAGGGTTGTTGCAGGAACATCGAAAAAAACAGATTTACAGTAAAAAAAATAGCGTAACGAGGATCAAAACCGAACAAACTTGAAAGTTTAAGAACCAAAATGAACTCTGAACTAGCCATCATTAGAATCTGGGCCCAACCCAAGAACAGATGATAACAGACAGCATTCTTCTAGTCATGCACTGAACGAACATCATCTCAAATAGATTAGAAGATCAAGCAGTCTACAGTACAAGAAGTGGAGAGATCCTAATCCGTAGAGGCAGATAGGTTTCTTCCGCAGCGATCACATATGTTAGAATCACTTGGGGAAGCATTGTGTGGCTTTTCCTTCATCAGCTTTGGAAGATCAATTTCCAGGACATCATGGAGTGCCTTCGTGCCTTCTTTCACCTCATCCAAACTGCACAACAAATGCTTACAATCATTCTCTATGGTATTATGAACTTTTCACTGCTTTTATCAAGCTCATTGAAACCGTTCGTCTTGTTTTCGGCTTCTCGAGGTGTTGGGAAAGGCAAATCCTCTTGTATTTTCTCTCTACGTGCTTCCCCGTTCACTGCAGCATGCGATGTAGTCCTAGTTCGGCCCCCTCTCCATCCAACCGACGTGGGATCTCATAATTCATCCCCCTTCAGGGCCCAGCGTCCTCGTCGGCAATCGTTCCTCTCTCTAATCGATGTGGGATCTCACAATCCACCCCCTTCAGCCCAGCGTCCTCGTTGGCACACCCCCTGGTGTCCACCTCTTTGGGGCTCAGCATCCTCGCAGGCACACCGCCTAATGTTTGGCTCTGATACCATTTGTAAAAGCTCAAGCCCACCGCTAAAAGATATTGTCCTCTTTGGACTTTCTCTTTTGGGCTTCCCCTCAAGGATTTTAAAACGCGTCTGCTAGGGAGAGGTTTCCACACCCTTATAAAGAATGCTTCATTTCCCTCTCCAACTGATGTGGGATCTCACAACTCACCCCCCTTCAAGACCCAACGTCCTCGTGGACACTCGTTCCTCTCTCCAATTGATGTGGAATCTCACAATCCACCCCCCCCCTTTCAGGGCCTAGCGTCCTCACTAGCACTCGTTCGTCTCTCAAATGGATGTGAGATCTCACAATCCACTCCCCTTCAAGACCCAGCGTCCTCGCGGTCACTCGTTTCTCTCTCCAATCGATGTAGGATCTCACAATTCACCCCCTTCGGCCCAACATCCACGCTGGCACACCACCCAGTGTCCACCCGTTTCAAGGCTCAATGTCCTCGCTGGCACACTGCTCGGTGTTTGGCTTTGATACCATTTCTAATAGTCCAAGCCTACCGCTAACAGATATTGTCCTCCTTGGACTTTCCCTTTCGAGCTTCCCTCAAGGATTTTAAAACGCGTCTACTAGAAAGAGGTTTCCACACCCTTACAAAAAATGTTTAGTTCCCCTCTCCAACCGACGTAGGATCCAGTTCATTGTAACACATAATGGAGCTAGCAGGGGAAGAACAATAGGCCACAAGAACCAATGGGTAACAGAACATTCCCCCCTTTTAAATATTGTCTCTAGCTAAGTTCCATAACAACAAAAGAGGTAACTATAAAAGATTTGGCATACCTTATCGAGAGTGGAGGCGTTAACCGAATTATAGTATCGTGCGTCGGTTTAGCAAGAACTCCCCTTTCCTTCAACTTCATGCAAATATCATACGCCGAAACAGGAGATAAAGCTTTGCTTTTGAGCTCCACGGCATTGAATAAACCTCTTCCTCGAACATGCTTGATGTATTGTGGGAAACGTTCCTGAACTTCGACGAGCTGATTTCTGATCTCCTCTCCTAATTTTGCTGATCTGTTTTTTACATGGAAACAAAGTTCATCATTTTATAGTATAAATCAGAGGACAAAAGAAGGAGATAGTAAAGGAATTTATCATAACAGGCAGCAATTTACCAGACTTCATACCTTTCAGCAAGTTTCTCATCTTTGATCACTTCAAGTGAGGCAATAGCAACAGCACTTGCCAGTGGATTTCCCCCAAAAGTGCTATGCATAATGAGATAAAGAGCAAGGTCAGTCTTTATTTGATATCACAACAGCAGTTTATGATGTGTTCTCAATAGCACACGAGTCTTCAATTAAATAGCAACACTACAACAACTCAAGCTCACCGCTAGAAGGGGAAAAAAAGTCTATCTCATAAATCTAAACACGCAAGCTACACACCTCCCATGCTCTCCAGGTTGGATACAAAGCATTACATCTTTGTCAGCAAGAACAGCACTTACAGGTATTACTCCACCGCCCAATGCTTTTCCCAGTATCTGAATCATACTTAATGAGATGTTTGGTTAAATGAAGAACGTTGATCGAACCTTCCCCTATCGTAGATGAACCCGTAGTAGTACAGGAAACGTCGAGAATCAAATAGGTTCGTTCTTAATAAATATAAATAAATAAAAGAAAACGTCCTATAATATGGGAAGAGCAAGACGGGACATTACCACTAAATCTGGTCTGACATTCTCCCAATCGCAAGCCAACAATTTTCCCGACCTCGCTAAGCCAGATTGTATTTCGTCAGCAATCATTAAGACATTATACTTCGAGCAAAGATCTCGCACAGCTTTCATGTAACCATCAGGGGGAATAATAACCTAGAAGAATATCAAAATATCGACACAAAATGATTCAGATGTCGAAAGCGAAACTGTAAGAGTCAATACATTAGGTAGCAATCCTCATTCTTCAACTGTAAGAGGTAGATAGCGAAAAAAGAAAGGAGTATTGGACTCTTCGTAGATCTTTGTCTAAAAAGATCATAGCACGTGTTTTCGTTTCATGTAAGATCCTTGTAACGCATTATTTTATTATTTATTGTAGCAGACAGTCCAAGCCCAAACCCACCGTTAGCAGATATTGTTTGCTTTGGCCCATTACGTATCGTCGTTAGCTTCACGATTTTAAAACGCGTCTACTATGTAGAGAGTCTAGCCCTACTCCGACTAGTGCCTTGCACCGCCTAGTGACTAGCTCTGATACTATTTGTAACGGCCCTAGTCCACTGCTAGCAGATATTGTTCTCTTTGAACTTTCCTTTTTGGGCTTCCCCTCAAGGTTTTTAAAACACGCCTGCGAGAGAGGTTTTCACACCCCTTATAAGGAATGTTTCGTTCCCCTCTCCAACCAATGTGGGACCTCACAATCCACCCCTTGGGGCCTAGCGTCCTCGCTGGCACACCGCCCGATGTTTGGCTCTGATACCATTTGTAACAACCCAAGCCCACCGCTAGCAGATATTGTCCGCTTTGGCTCGTTAAGTATCACCGTCAGCCTCATGATTTTAAAACGTGTCTGATAGAGAGAGGTTTCCACACCCTTATAAGGAATGTTTCCTTAGCCTCTCCAATATGCCGCTAACGACCTTTAGAAAACAACCTTCCCTAGTAAAAGATTTTTGTCTCTTCATACATACCCCTGCCTCTCCTTGAATGGGCTCGAACAAAAATCCAGCTATTCGGTCCCCATGCTCTGCACTCCATGAAAACGACGAGCAATAAGATAAACCGAACGCCAAATACAAATCCCCATGACTAAGCAAAACAAAAACTAATGGATAGGATTGTTTTATAGTGAAAATACATGAACAAATTTCTTGACATGTAAATAAAAAACACAAGGGAAACCATGTCTTGGAACAATATATTCAACCAACCTTTAAATGTTTTCTCAAGGGCAACTGCATCACCAAAATCAACTTTAAGATGTCCAGGCAACAAGGGCCCAAATTCTCGCGTCGCTTCGTTGTCGCAGCTCATGGAAATAACAGCCAATGTCCGACCGTGAAAGCAACCACAACATGAAACAATAATAGCCTGCATATGTGACAGAAAACATGGGACTTCAAAGGTCATTTAATTATGAAGAATTTGGAGGATAAGTTATTGATTTTTTAGCACAACAATATGTTCTACATGGATTAGTTTCATCACAGTTTTGCAAGTAAGTTTTAAGAAAAGTAATTTATTAAGCTCCTATCAGCACCTGCGAGCACTTAACAGTAATCAAGTTTGAACTACGATGAAGGCTGATGTAACAGCCCAAGTCCACCGTTAGTAGATCGTCTTTAGTCTCCTCGCTGGCACATGGCCTGATGTCTGGCTTTAATGCCATTTGTAACGGCCCAAGCCCACTGCTAGCAAATATTGTCCTCTTTGGAGTTCCCCTTTCGGGCTTCCCCTCAAGGTTTTTAAAACGCGTCTGCTAGGGAGAGATTTTCACACCCTTATAAAGAATGTTTCGTTCTCCTCCCCAATCGATATGGGATCTCACAATCCATCCCCCTTCCGGGCCCCAGCGTTCTCGTTGACACTCGGTCCCTTCTCCAATCGATGTGGGACCCCCCCAACCACCCCCTTCAAGGCCCGGTGTCCTTACTGGCACACTGCCTCGTGTCCACCCCCCTTCGGGGCTCAGACTCCTCGCTGGCACATCACCCGGTGTCTAGCTCTAATACCATTTGTAACAAGCCTAAGCCCACTTCTAGCAAATATTGTCCTCTTTGAGCTTTCCCTTTCAGGCTTCCCTTCAATGTTTTTAAAACTAGGGAGAGGTTTCCACACCCTTATAAAGAATGCTTCGTTCTCCTCCCCAACCGACGTGGGATCTCACAATCCACACCCTTTCAGGGCGCAGCGTCCTCGTTGGCACTCGTTCCCTTCTCCAATCAATGTCGGACCCCCCAATCCACCCCTTTAGGGCCCAACGTGCTTACTGGCACACCGCCTTGTGTCCACCCCCCTTCGGGGCTCAGACTCCTTGCTGGCACATCGCCCGGTGTCTGGCTCTGATACCACTTGTAACAGCCCAAGCCCACCGCTAGCAAATATTGTCCTCTTTGGGCTTTCCCTTTCGGGCTTCCCCTCAAGTTTTTTAAAACGCGTCTACCAGGAAGAGGTTTCCACACCCTTATAAAGAATGTTTCGTTCTCCTCCCCAACCGAAGAGGGATCTCACAGCTAATATACTAAAGGTTCCGAACTAAAATGGAGAACGGAAAACTTCCAAAATTTGAAGACCTCGATCTAAATTATAGCACAAAATTTCCTTATACCGCACCTCATCTTTGGGGATTTTCTTCTTCTTGTAACCCCATTTCCTTGCCAACTTCAAAGCAGTTTCCACTCCTTCAGCACCAGTGTTCATTGGAAGCACCATATCATAGCCAAAAATTTGTGTTAAGTACTCAGCAAACAGGGGAAACTTATCATTATAGAAAGCTCGAGAGCTAAGAGTGAGTTTCTCTGCTTGTTCTTGGAATGCCTTGACAATCTTTGGATGACAATGTCCCTACAGGCATAAGGCAATAAAAGATATCAATTAAGCGTTGAATTATCAAACAAGTCACTTAGAAATGATTATTAAAGAAAAAAAAGACCTGTTATCAGAATGAACAATGCTAAAAACGTTCAATTTAGTACACAGCATGCATGGAGATCAATTACACTCGTGTACCTGGTTGACAGCAGAATAAGCTGATAGAAAATCCAGATATCTCTTACCCTCTGGGTCCCATATCGATGACCCCTTTGCTTCCGAGAATACAACTGGAATCGGGTGGTAGCTGCATAACGCCATAAAGTATCCATCAATAAGGGTAGAATCAACATATATTCGACACTCTACAGACTACAATTCCCTACTCAAGGGATATGGAACTGTGAGATCCCACATTGGGGAGGAGAACAAAACATTCCTCACAAGAGTGTGGAAACCTCTCCCTAGTAGACGTGTTTTAAAATCTTGAGTGGAAGCCTAAAAGGGAAAGCCGAAAGAGGACAATATCTACTAGCACTGGGCTTGAGCTGTTACAAATGGTATCAGAGCCAGACACTGGGCAATGTGCGAGCGAGGAGAATGAGCCCCGAAGGGAGGTGAACACGAGGCGGTGTGCCAGCAAGGACGCTGGACCCTGAAGAGGGGTGGATTGGGGTGTCCCATATTGATTGGAGAAGGGAACGAATCCCGACAAGGACGCTAAGCCCTGAAGGGGGTGGATTGTAAGATCTCACATCAATTGGGGAGGAAAACGAAGCATCATTCCTTATAAGGGTGTGGAAAACTCTCCCTAGTAGACGCATTTTAAAACCTTGAAGGGAAGCTCAAAAGAAAAAACCCAAAATTGGACAATATCTGCTAGAGGTAGGATTGGGCTGTTACAAATGGTATCAAAGCCAGACATCGGGCGATGTGCCAACGAGAATGTTGATGCCCGAAGGGGGTGGACACGAGGCAGTGTGCCAGCAAGGACGCTGGGTCCCGAAGGGAAAGGTGGATTGGGGGGTCCCATATCGATTGGAGAAGAGAACGAATGTCAGCGAGGACGCTGGACCCAGAAGGGGAGTGGATTATGAGATCTCACATCAGTAGGGGAGGAGAACGAAACATTCCTTATAAGGGTGTGGAAACTTCTCCTTACTCCCTAGCATACGCATTTTAAAACCTTGAGAGGAAGCCCGAAAGTAGCGTTGAGCTTAGACTCTTGCTGAACACAAAGAAAATAAGAAAATTCAAGGCTCTTAAGCGACATTTGATATGACATAGACTTGTATAAACTAATGCCTGCTGCATGACTTCAGCCATTTGATTAGTAACAAGCATAAAAGTTGGGACTACAAAAACCCTTTTATCTAATCAATAATATAAGCATCATAACACTCTCTTATAAACATTGATCATGCAATATGATTGATATCTTCTGATAGACAGAAGCTTGCTGCATCAAAGGTTATTCAGACCACCCATGGAGAAATCAAGAACAGTATCACATATCATCATCTATATCAAAGACATGGAGTAAAACAGAGAGAACCCAGAATCAAAAACATCAGAAAACAACAGATATCACAGCATGAAAACAAGAACACCACCACAAACCTTCAATTCAAGATAGATCAAGAGTTCATCAAGAAACCAAACAATCAAAACCATGAAACGAGAGCTCACTTATGTGCACTATTTTCTTTCTCCATATCGATGAGCTTCTCAGAAGCAGGAAAAGAAGAGAATGGCCTCCTTCCCCTGCAAACCAAGCTGATCAAACATTGCAACTGCCTTCTGGACGCCATTGATAAATCTCGAAATCTCAAACAAATTTCCTTCTGGGTTTCACCTCACAGCATCCACAGAGCGAAATATCCAAACCCTTGCGAAATATCCAAACCCCAGAGATTAAGGCCTTTTTATTCGGCTAAATATATCTCGTCTATCGAAAATTGGAACCATTTCATATTAAATTAAGCAACCCACCACTAGTTGATCGCTGTCGCATCGCAGCGGACGATAAACAGCCGACTTTTTTTGCCCTGAAAAATATTCGCGTCGTGATGGACTCAGAGTTCAAACGGCACAAGCAATGTTGATAGAATCTTAGAATGAGGAATAAATGTGTACAATTGTTATCCATTTACTTTTGAAGGGTCAAAAAGTTTAAAGAGTTGTTCTAATTTTAGGGTTAAAATTGTAATTTTATTATCGGAAAAGGTCTCCTCCCAACCGATGTGGAATTTCATAATTCATCTCCATTCAAGGCTCAGCGTCCTCGCTGGCACTCGTTCCCTTCTCCCGTCAATGTGGGACCCCTCAATCCACCCCCCTTCAAGACCCAACATCTTTGCTGGCATACTGTCTCTTGTCTACCCCCTTCGAGGCTCAACCTTCTCGTTGGCACATCACTCGGTGTCTGCCTCTAATACAATTTGTAACGGCTCAAGCCCACTGCAAGTAGATATTGGTATTAGAGCCAGGTTTCGATCCTGGGACGAGCTAGGTAATCGAGGCTCGACTCCTTCTCTAGAGTCCTCGAACAAAGTACACCTTTTGTTTGACACTTAAGCCACTTTTGATGACTACACCTTCGAGACTCACAACTTCTTTATTCGACACTTGAGGATTCTATTGGCATGACTAAGTTGAGGACATGATTCTGATACCATAGGATGAAATTAAAGAAATAATAGTAGAGAAAAGTAAGTTTTAGGACTTATATTAGAAATAATCATCATGTTTATCTAGATCAAGATATTGATATGCCCTAAGTATGTGACATGGATTGATATAGGTGACATTTAATGTCAAAGTAGAGGAAGAGGTAAAGGGCGTAGGGGACGACCCCCTACTAGTGGTAGAGAAAGGGGTAGAAGAGGTTTAGTTCGTGAGGAATCGGTGAATCGATCTGACGAACGGTGTCACCCCCACCTCCAATAGTGCACCAGACTCCACAACTGCCCTAAAGGAATTGTTATAAGCGATTATGCAAACGATGGTAACAACCCAACAAGACAATGTCTCATCGTCAACTAGAGAGGCAAAATACCAGCGAGACTTTAAAAGAGGTGACCCTCGTAACTTTAGCGAGACTGTAGATGATCCGATAGTGGCACAGTTGTGGTTGACATCAATGGAGACAATGTTCGACTAACAAATTGCTTAGATGATCATAATGTACCATGTGCAACATTCATGCTATGAGGTGATGCAGAGTTGTGGTGGCAATTCAGCCGCGAGATTCTTAGTCTCGAGGGAGGTGTAATCTCGTGGTCGGACTTCAAGAGCGCTTTTCTGGAAGAGTATTACTCAACTCCGTAAATAGCAAGAGTTCACACATATGAGTCAGAAAGAACATTCAGTTACCACATATGCAAGAGATTTTACGAGAATCAAACAATTCGCTCCAAAGTTGGTGAACACTGAATATAAATTAGCATGGAGGTTCGTCCTGGACTAGACAAAAAGATAGCGGCTCCTACTTATGTTGTCACCCTGAGAGCAACTAAAACCATGGAAGGAGAAGATGAACTACTAGAACCTCCTCCACCGACGGTTACCGTGGAACAGAAACGATGTCATCGACTGTTAAGACAAGAAAATTAGGGGTGTTACAATGCATGACATGACTAATACGTACCCGAAAACGTTCATTTAAAATATTTCATAAAAGGTGTATGGACTTGAAACGTTCTACATCTTAGCGCTAAATTTGGCCCAATCTAAACAACCCAGATATCAAAAATCAATCTTTCTCAACATTTTCATTCAAGAAACTCAAGAAAGAGTAAGTTCTTTACACATTACAATTCTAAACATCTCAATTGATGGGTTATTGAGTGTAAGGTGAAGCAGATTGAATCCGATTCTTCCTTTTATGTAGAAACCTCTGCAGAGATCTCTTCATGGAGAGCCCGGAATCGGAGCCATCTTCGCGTTTACACAGTTCCGATCGATGTTGACGACTCGTGGATCGTCGGGTTGCTAGCATTATTATAGCTCTGGCCTGAAATGCACCAACAAGTTCATGAATTTCTAATCAAAATCACCCATTTGGTAATGCAATCCCAAGAAGAAGAAGAAGAAGAAGAAGAAGAAGAAGGGTACCTGATGCTCTGTAAAATCAGCCACACAAACTCTTCCATTGTAAAAAATTGTCATCTGCTGTTGAGAGTTCTTGCTCGACTCATCATCTCTGTCGTAAGAACAACCGTAATCAATCGCAAGGTCACGAGACACTATATTTATTGATACGAAAAACTAAAAGCAAAGTCATGAAAACTCTCGTGTTATTGTGGAAGTTTGTTGTTTTATAAGGGATAATCCTTAGATGTCAAACCTAATAGGTGTAACGGCTCAAGCCTACCACTACGAGATATTGTCTCTTTGGGTTTTCTCGCTTCCCCTCAAGGTTTTCAAAACCCTACGAGGAGGTTTTCATACTCTTATAAATAATGTTTCGTTCTACTCTTTAACCGATGTGGGATCTCACAATCCACCCCCTTTGGGACCCAGCGTCCTCACTAGTGGATATTGTCCTCTTTGGACTTTCCCTTTCGGGCTTCCCCTCAAGGTTTTTAAAACACGTCGAGAGAGGTTTCCCCACTCTTATAAATGTGTTTCGTTCTCCTCCCAATTGATTTGGGATCTCACAATTCGCCACTTCATGGCCCAATGTCCTCGCGGACACTTATTCCCTTCTTCAATCGATATGGGACCCCCCAATTTACCCTTTCGAGGCCAGCGTCCTTACTAGCACACCGCCTCGTGTCCACCCGCTTTGGGGCTGAGCTTCCTCGTTGGCACATCGCCCAATGTTCTAATACCATTTGTAACAGCTTAAGCCCACCACCAGTAGATATTGTCTTTCTTTGGACTTTCCCTTTCTAACTTCCTCTCAAAGTTTTTAAAACGCGTCTGCCGCAGAGAAACTTTCGCACCAATATTTATTTCTCCTTCCCACCCTACGTGAAATCTCATAATAAATATAATCATAGACAATATCATACGATCGTTGAGGTTAATTGTTCTATCAAAATTTACGGTAAAAAATAGGGAAAACTTACGAGAACGGGTGGAGGGGAGGCTGGTGGCGGCGGAGGTCGCCGGAATCATGATTGGAAGAAGCCATAGAAGAAGAAAGACAAAGTTCCAAGTTACAATTTTTCTCCATGAAAATGGGAAGAACCGCCATTAGAGGAGGAAGAGGATCGAAAAAAGATGAGATTTTTGGACTCAACAAAATGGAAGAACGAAGGCTTGTTTATATGAATGCTTGACGACAAGATCTTTTCTATAAAAAAACACGTTTTAAATGTTTATTAAGAGGAGGCCAAAAAATCCGCCGCTATTGATTTGGGAGCTCTTAATTCATCGTGTTTTAGTCATTTAAATCACGTGCTTAAGTCGGCAACATTATCCCAACATTTAAATGGATATTTTAGAAAAAAAAAAAAAAAATCTTTGTCTAAATTTTATTTAAATTATATAAACATTTCATAATTTTTTTTCCACTTTATTTTTTAGAATATAGTACGATAAAAATTCGAACACCTTCGGTGGTATAATATACTATTCCGTGTTATTTTTATTCGTATTTTTTAACATTTTTAACTAAAGTAATAAAAATATTCGTAAACTTTCCACCGTCTAACAAAAATACTCATTTACTTTTTTAAAAAAATTCATTCTATTTTCAAAAATATTCTTACTATTAACGCCATATCTAAAAAAATAAAACTTTTAAGAGCAGTATTAGCATTTTTTAAATATTATTATTATCAATATACAAGCAAAAACCTATTTATTTAAACTTTTTAAAATTTTGTTACTAATATTAAACTTTTTTTTCTTAAAAGTTAAATTTGTTTTTTAAATTTTTAAAAATATTTTTTCAAACCGTTTAAAGTTTAAAAGGTATTTTTAATCAGTATTTTTGAACGTTTTTGAAAGTTTAAAGGTATTTTTGAGACAAAGAAGCAAATTTTAGGAATATTTTTATTAATTTAACCTAATATTTATTTAAAACCTACGCCCTTAATTTTATTTAAATTATATATACATTTTCTAATTTTTTAATTTTTTTTAGAACATAGAATTAATCGGTTATGTACATAAAAGATCAAAATTCAAACATTCAACGAAAAAACGGTGGTAGAATGTACATATCTTGTGTTAATTCCACACGTTTATTTTTTAAATTTTCATTTTTGCTCGTTCATATAACTTTATGAAATAGACACGAGGCTTATCTTATTGATGCTAAAATTTTATTCAAACTAAAATCACAAAATTAAAAAATAATATTACAATTAAATCAACCAATAATAACGTGACCCGACTGAATTTAGCTAATTAAGTTAGGTTTATAAATTATAAATGACCTCTCCGACCATAATTATATGTTACGTTACATAATTTAATTATATATTATTTTTTTTGCATTATTGATTAGATTTATTTCGTAATAAGGTAGTTCTATTAGAATTTTTAGGTCAAATATACTTTATCGAGTCGTCTAGTTTAAAGTTTGTGAAATAATCATGAATATTATATGTATGGAAAAAAAAATAACGGAAAATATAATTGATGAATAATTTTGTAATTATTTTTAGTAATAAAGATTTGTATTAAATTATTTATTAAAATTGGTATGGGCTTACTAACCTAATATTGTTCTCTTTGAGTTTTTGGTTTGGGTTCTCCTCAAAGTTTTTAAAACATGTCTGTTATGGAGAGGTTTCCACACCCTCATAAATAGTGTTTCGTTCTGGGATCTCATAATCCACTTCCCTTTAGTGCCCAGCGTCCTTACTGGTACTCGTTTTTTTCTCCCATCAATGTAAGACCCCCACCAAATTCACCCATTCAGGGCCCAACGTCCTTGCTGGCACACTGCCTCGTATCCACCCTTTTGGAGCTCACCTCCTGGCTGACACATCATCTAGTGTCTAGCTCTGATACCATTTGTAGTATCCCAAGCTCACCGCTAACAGATATTGTCCTTTTTAGAATTTCACATTCAGGCTTTCCGTCAAGATTTTTAAAACGCATTTACCAGAGAGAGATATCCACACCCTTATAAAAGAATGTCTTGTTGTACTCCTTAACTAATGTGAGATTTCACACCTATACATATACATGACTATATCAAATAAAAGTAAATAAATAAGAGATAACACCGATCCACCGTCCACCTAAACTCTAAACCGTGAAGAAAAAGTCAAAATATAAAAAGAAAGAAAACAAAAAACAAATATTATATAATTTTAAAACATTAAAAAAATGCAACTTTATATATTTTTTAAAATTGATAAATAAAACCCTTTCAAGTTAGGTTATCGAATTCGAACTACTCGAAAAAGACATTTTTTTAAAATTTTATTATTTATTTATTATTTCTTTTTATCAAAATTAAAAACTTCAATCAAAATAATCTTAAAACTTAACCCAATCGTTATTGACTGACTCGTCTTTACATATTTACTCAAACTTAGCCCGATAAAAATACCCGTATGACATAATTAGATACTTTACTCGAATTAAAAAAATAAATAAATAAATAAATACTCATCATAAATACTCATTTCATTAAAATTAAAAGCAAAACTTTGGTTAGGTATGAAAAAGAGGCCACCATATTTTATCGCCCATTAAATAATCAATTCTTTATTATTATTATTATTATTATTTATAATTACCAACTTCTTTTTTTGTTTATTTTATTAAGAATATTATTATTTTTTGTTTAATTAAAGAGCTATCACAATTTCATCTAAATAAATATATAATATTTTTGTTTAATTACGTCTAACAATTTTATCAAATTATTAAAATAATTTAAATTAATTAAAATTTCATTTATTTTATGTTTTTTAGTTTATTTAATAATTATTTTCGAATAAATAATTTTAATAAAATTGTATAAATTTTTATTCGTGATTAATTATGCATGTTATATTTTGAAAATTAAATATAACTAATTTATTTACCTGGTTCGAATGTAAAATATATTTATTTCAATTTATTATCATTTTCTCCCAATTACTTTATAAACCATTTGAAAACGAAAGTAATTTTTTATCCAAGAAAAAAAAACAAAATAATATAATTATATTAAAAAAGAAAAAGAAAATAAGAAAAATAAATAATTAAAAAAGTTGAGAAAGTAAAGAAGTGAAGGAATAATAATAATAATAATAACAAAACAAACCTAAAATTAAAAAAAAAATAAAAGTGAACAAATAAGAGTGAATAAATAGAAATTTTTAAATAATTAAAAAAGAACAACTTCACGGGCTTCATAACAGTACAGTGAATAAATAAAAAATTTTAAATAATTAAAAAAAGAACAACTCGACAGATTAACCGTACCTAAGCCAGTGTTGAATGGAATAGGGTTGGGTCTAGCCGTGAACTCTATATATGATTGCTTGAGTTACTCAAATTAGGTCTAGTCGTGAACTTTATATATGGTTGTTTGAGTCACAGGCATAGCCAATTTAAAATTTTACTATAATTATTTTTTTATTATTTATTCGAACAATTTTATAAACAAAATTTTAAGTATTTTAAATTATAAATCGTAATTTAATTTAATTTAATTTTTGAAAACGATTACATTTAAGTGAAACAATTAAAGGAGAATTTAAAGCAAAAGAAAAAGAAAAAGAAAAATAGGGTTTTTTTTTTTTTTTTTTTTTGGGGGG